AACTGTCATTCATTGACGTAATTTCTTCATGCTTCGGTTGTTTGCATTAGTTTGCTTTACCGGTCAGCAATTGAGCGCAAGGTCATCTTCTGGTATCCATTTCCTTAAAATTTTGCAAAGTTCTGCATACTTAAACTTTGATTTCGGATCTGTTGCTGCTGTTGCTTTCACTTCTTTTCGTTCCTTCAGTAGTTCTTTCGTTTGCTTCGTGATTTTTCGGTAGGCCTTTATTATATTTGTTCTGGAGATGCTTTCCACCGTTTCTGTAACTGTTTCGTTATATCCTGACACAGTAAATCAGTGACCGTTTGGATGACAAACCTTATTGGCACTGGGTTCGCGGCATGGGTTTGCAGTGAGGAAGAGGTTATGACTGATGAGGAGTTTGTTATTAGTTATAGAGGTACAGGTGACGGAAGAGGTTGCGATTAGAGTACGCATGAGGTCCATTTTCAAGTAACACACCGAATACAATGAATCCAAAACCGAGTCACTCAGGCAGTGACTGTTACCATGGCGTAGGAGCGGCGCACAGGCTGAGCTTATCCTAGTGGTCTCCGTTCCGTCTGTTCATCTTGCTATGGGCTTGTTCCGCTGTAATTGCGGCTGCAGTACTTTTCTTTCTTCGACTGAGTTTCTTTCAGACTACTTTCTTATAGTAGCACTGAGTGATGTGGTTCTTCGCGAAGTTATGCTGCGTTATGTCTGAGCCTATTTCATATGCCCGCTATGCGAGCCATGAGTTCACTTATCCTATTTTGAACTTCTGCTAAGTTTCATGAGCAAGAATGGTTGAGGTAGTAAAACTCCGCCAAAGTTTCTGCCGCTGTGATACGATCCCTTGTTTAATATGCAACCCTCCCAGCTTCTGAATGTTTTCGTGTCGTCCTTACGCTGCATTTTTCCTTACACCTTTGTTCCTTTCCTTAAGATAACTTTTTATTCGATCTTTCAGATTTCGCTAAGTAGTATTTGATTGCACTCGCGGACTATCTTGGTCGAAGCTGAGGAAAATTCGTGATTCAGTTCGTGCGTAGCAGATGAGAATAGCGGAACAAGATTTCATGAAGAACTACATCGTTCAGTGCGAAAGACGAAAAGAATAATATTCCAGAAACCATTATGGCTGAACAAACCCACAGTAAGATGACTAGACAGAAGAGACCTGTATGATCACTGCTGGGCACTGCTGCTGTGTCATGACAACCGCTACTATTTAGCTCAAGTGATTGTTATTTTTCTGGGTCCTTATTTCGAAGTAAGCATGTCGTTGTGTAAGCAATCACAATTTGTTCCGTCACCAGCTTAAACTCAGAAAACGAACCCGGTACAAATAATGCTTTTCGTCCGTAAAAGGGGATACACCAACACCGACTTATTCTGCATATGGTTCATCACCATGAGATGCAGAATTGTTGCGGATCTTGCTCCGGATTGGGCAGTGGTCGCGCATTCATCAGTCCGTTCAAAATGATATTTCTATCACGGTTATGCCTTGTGCTGATTATCACGGTCTGATAGTCAGTTATCAGGTGTACCACGGCGAACTACAACCACAAGAGGAGCTCGCGTCAGACAGGGTGGCCGTACTTCTCTCTTTCTGATGTAACCATGCCAGAATGTGATGCTGCCCTGCTGTTTTCAAGTCTGGTCTGTACTAACCGTTTTCGGTTGGTTGCACTGCATTAACGTCGGATAAATTCCTTGCTCAAGGAGATCTGCCGTTAAGACAGAGATCGTCTTTTCTCTGGATCTGGATTCGAACCGCCACGATTTAAATAATAAATAAAAAATATTAGGTTGGAAAAGGTATTTATGAAATCTAATTTCAAACCAGTGCCTCGTTTTCCTTGAAACATTCTTTGGAAGACATTATTTATGATAATAAATATTGCGGGCATTATCGAAGAATAATCGATTGCCGATTTTATTTTCTTTAGAAAATTCGATTCTAGTCAATCGGCGTGACCGTCATGACGGTTATGATACCAATTCGGTTGTTTGAATATACCGTGGCTGGTAGATTTTTCAAAGACTGTGTGAGCATGAGACAATCCGGTTCAAGCAGCCCAGTCACCGCAGTTAACGGTCGCTAGACTTAACGGCGCCGAAAACTCCGAACGATTTCAATTCGCCAGTAGCGGTCGTTTTTGGAGGTACCTGCGTCTAAACCGTCTTATCTTCATGCCCCTTTACCCTCAATATCACTGCAGTCACTGTACATTCAGAAATGACCAGATTTGCTGCGGTTGGAGCGATGAGGCCGTTTTATAAGTCAACTACAGGAGAAGTTGTAATCCACTTGGTCAGAGTCAGTTAGTGTCTGATTGAGCATCAGGAGCTTCGGCTCTGGTCCAGCACCCCGCTTTCTTCATAGACAATTCAGGTCTGTTTCGAATAGCAGTTCGTTTTTTGCAAATGAGCGACTAACTCACAAAGCTGCTGAATTTGATTCCGTTTTTGACTTCAAAGCGTTCGCCAGTTCAGCTCGACCTATGCAATATTTGCAGTACTTTTCAGTATTGCTTACTTCTAC